TGAGGACAGGGGTGAGGACAGAGGTGAGAGACAGGGGTGAGGACAGGAGTGAGGGCAGGGTTGAGGACAGAGGTGAGGACAGAGGTGAAGGACAGGGGTGAGGACAGAGGGGTGAGGACAGGGGTGAGGACAGGGGTGAGGACAGGGGGGAGGGGTAACGCGGTGATGCAGAGCAGCCGAGCTCTGAAGCTCTGCTCAGAGAACAGCAGAGACCAGGGCCTCAGGCTGTGCCACCCCCGACCATGGGGTTTGTTGGCGCCTGAGCCGGGCTCCTGCTTGGCGGTCAGGACGGCCTGGACCCTGTCCTCCCGCCTGGGCCTCCCGAGTGCTGGGTGACAGGCGTGGCTCTGGGGGCAGCCCTGGGTGTGGGGCTTTAGTGAGCTGGGGCCCAGGCTCCTCACGGACAGCGCTCAGAAAAGGACAGCTCACCCCATGGACACGCTGCAGTCAGTGTGGACCGGGGGCTCCCTCTCCGCCTGCCCCACGCCCCTCCTCTCCCTCTGCCTGTCTGTCTGTCTCTCTCACTCTCACACACATTTTCCCTCTCCCTTTCCCTCCTTCTTGGAGACAGACTCATGTATTAGCCAAGGCTGGGACGTGCTGTGTAGCCAAGGCTGGGACGTGCTGTGTAGCCAAGGCTGGGACTTGCTGTGTAGCCAAGGCTGGGACTTGCTGTGTAGCCAAGGCTGGAACCCCTTTAGTCCTGGTAGCATGGACACAGCCCTCTATTTTACTTGGTTAGCCCCCCCCCAGGGCTCCCCCTTCATTGGGGACAGGAGGGGACCCTGCCCCTGTCACCTGGGGGAGGAGTCCCCTTTCCAGCCTTCCAGTGAGAGCTCCAGGGAGCTGGACAGGGAGGTAAAACCCGTGACCCCAGACTGCAGGCCACACCCCTGCCGTCCCAGCCTTTGGAAGACTGAGGCGGAGCATCAGGAGCTCTTGGATAGCCTGGGCTACACAAGACACCGTCTCAAAAACCACACGGGGTGGTGGATGCTTGCCTGGCACACGCTGTGCCGCCCCTGCACCCTGGGGTCCTCCGTGCTGACTCTCATTGGCCAGCGCCGCCTGTGCCTCCCGCGCGGAGGTGGCAGCCATGTCACTGTCCGATGGCAGGCGGGCGGCTCCCTCCCTGGTGTGAGGCCCCCGTGTACCCGGCTGTCGCCGAGCTGGCCACGGCCTGTGCTGCCCTCATCAGCCCCGCAGGCCCGAGCCCAGCACGAGCTCGGTGGCCGCCTGTGACAAAAGTGCTTCGGCGGATCCGTGCGGTCCCTGACGTGGGGGGGGGGGCGGGGTACGGAGGGCGGGAGGAAAAGCTTGGGTTCCTTGCGGAAGATGGAAAGAGGCTCTGGGCTGGCATGGTTGCTAAGTCTGAGTGGGTGACTGCCGCATGCCAGCCGTGTCCAGGCGCCTGGGCAGGCTTCACGTCCAACTCAGCGGCTTACCAGCACTGTGACTCCTTGTTATTGTCGGCCTCAGTTTGTCCATCTGTAAAATGGCGCATGCAGCCATACAAAAGGCCACCCAAGCGGGGAATTACAGGATTAAACAAACGAACAAGCCCTGGGCTGGTGGTGCAGCCCTTCAATCCCTGCAAAACCAAACAAACAGGCCGATCTCTGTGACTTAAGGCTAACCTGGTCTACATAGCAAGACCTTATGTAAAGGAAAGAAAAAACGGAGGGAAGGGATTAAAAGAATTTGAGGTACCCGGGAGTTGGAGGTGACACCCTCAGTCTGTGAGGCAGTGGGCAGTGGGCTTTGTGTGCCCCCCCCCGCCCCCAGCTCCGGGGCCTGGCGAAGGACCGCGGGACAGGAGCGGCCGCCCCGCCCACCCCACCGCCCCGCTTCTGACGGGGCGTCCCCGCGCCCTCCGAGCCCCGCTTCTGACGGGGCGTCCCCGCGCCCTCCCCCAGGTGGTGCAGTACATCGGGGAGATCTGCCGCTACCTGCTGAGGCAGCCGGTTCGCGACGCGGAGCGGCGGCACCGCGTGCGCCTGGCCGTGGGTAACGGGCTGCGGCCGGCCATCTGGGAGGAGTTCACGCAGCGCTTCGGCGTGCGGCAGATCGGCGAGTTCTACGGCGCCACCGAGTGCAACTGCAGCATCGCCAACATGGACGGCAAGGTTCGCGCCGGGGTGCGGGCCGGCGCCGGGGCCTCCGTGGGCCTCGGGGCGGCCGGGGCGTGGGCTGCAGCGCCGCCGCCGCGGGCCGCTCACCGCCGTCTCCACCCAGGTCGGCTCCTGCGGCTTCAACAGCCGCATCCTCACGCACGTGTACCCCATCCGCCTGGTCAAGGTGAACGAGGACACGATGGAGCCGCTCAGGGACGCCCAGGGCCTCTGCATCCCGTGCCAGCCAGGTGAGCGTGGGCCCCGCCCGGTGCCCCGGGAGCCCGGGTCCCCACGGCTCCACCCCCACTCAGCCTGAGTCGCCCCTTCCAGGGGAGCCCGGACTCCTCGTGGGTCAGATCAACCAGCAGGACCCTCTGCGACGCTTCGATGGCTACGTTAGCGACAGCGCCACCAGCAAGAAGATCGCGCACAGCGTGTTCCGCAAGGGCGACAGCGCCTACCTCTCAGGTGCGGAGCCGGGGGCCGGGCTGCCTGGCTGGCGGTGACGCCCGGTCCCACCTGCCCCTCTCCCCTTTAGGTGATGTGCTGGTGATGGACGAGCTGGGCTACATGTATTTCCGCGACCGCAGCGGGGACACCTTCCGCTGGCGCGGGGAGAACGTGTCCACCACGGAGGTGGAAGCCGTGCTGAGCCGCCTGCTGGGCCAGACGGACGTGGCCGTGTACGGGGTGGCCGTGCCAGGCAAGCTGGGGACACAGGTGGTTGTGGGGTGCAGGAGCCCTCCCAGGAGGGGCCTGCGGGTGTAGTACCCCCGGGTCACACACAGCCTGGAGAAGCAGTTGCTGACCGGGCGGAGCACTGGACCGGGAGTCCGGTCACGTTCCCAACGTTGAGCGGCAGTTGGGGCGCTTAGGGTCGGAAGGAGAGAAGCGGCCCTTTATAAAGTGGGTATTGCCAGGACCGATGTTGTCCCAGTTGGGAGGTCACAGAGTAGAGACCAGGACTTTGTGTAGTGGCCACCGGTGTCCTCACCGAGCCTCCCCCTGCAGGAGTGGAGGGCAGAGCCGGCATGGCGGCCATTGCGGATCCCCACGGCCAGTTGGACCCTAACTCCATGTACCAGGAATTGCAGAAGGTTCTGGCCTCCTATGCCCGGCCCATCTTCCTGCGTCTTCTGCCCCAGATGGACACCACAGGTACGGCCCCTGCCTGGGAGCCGTTGACTTGGTCCTAATTTAGATTCCCTGTCCCCCGTGTGAACGGAGGTCCACAGCCACGAGCCTGGGCGTTCCTTGTTTTCTGGATGGATTTACCTGCTGTCTGGTCACCCCACGCCCATCAGGGGACCTCAGCTGGGATCCTTGTTTCGACTTCGCATTGTGAGGAAGCCGGAGGGGGATGTGGGGCTCCACATCTTGGGTTCTTTGTCTGTGAATTGTCTCGTCTTTTGCCCCTCTGTACCAGCTGGACAGTACTTCTTCGTCTACACTTTGTCTGCGGTGCTGAGCATTAAACCCAGGGCCTCACGCATGCTCCACCACTGACCACATGCCCGGTTCTTAAATCATTTTTGAGACAGCCCAGGCTGTTCTTAAACTTGCTGTTCTCACCGGGTGGTGGCGCATGCCGTTGATCCCAGCACTTGGAAGGCAGAGGCAGGTGGATCTCTGTGAGTTCAAGGCCAGGCTGGACTACAGAGTGAGATCCAGGACAGGCACCAGAACTACACAGAGAAACCCTGTCTTGGAAAACCAAAACAAACAAAACCAAAAACTTGCTGTTCTCTGACCTCAGCCTCTCAGGTTCTAGGATGGCGGATGTGTGCTCTCACCACAAGCACTGTGTGGTGCTGGGATAGAGCTCGGGGCTTCTCCCTGCTAGGCAAGCGCCCTCCAGCTGAGCCGTCAGACTGGGAGAACTGAGTCCCAGCCCTGGGGTTCGCCATTTCTTAGTAGACAAGATAATCTCTTTTCAGATGGGCGGTTGCTCCTTCACATACTCCAGTGCTCAGGAGGCTGAGGCTGGGTGATCACCTTGAGTTTGAGGCCAGCTTGGACTTTGGGGGACTTCAGCTCTGACACAACAGTGTGAAGTGTGGGTCTCCAGGGGTCTGGACCAGACTTCGTTAGCAAGCACAGCTGGGTTCACGCCAGGCCTGCCTCTTGCCTGAGCTGACATGCTCTCCCTGTCTCAGAAGTGGAGGGTGGGAAGCCGTGGCGGTGTCCAGTGGGCAGCGGTCAGGCAGAGTGTCTGCCGCCGAAGGGAGCCCTGTGCAGAGAGCTGCTTCTGGGTACCCACCTCTCCTCTGCTCCCCCACAGGCACCTTCAAGATCCAGAAGACCCGGCTGCAACGTGAAGGCTTCGACCCACGCCAGACCTCAGACCAGCTCTTCTTCCTGGACATGAAACAGGGCCGCTACCTGCCCCTGGACGAGGCAGTCCACGCCCGCATCTGTGCCGGGGACTTCTCGCTCTGATGAACCTGGCACGTGGGATGGGCCTGGACTCCTGAGCCCTGGGCACCTGACTCCTGAGCCCTGGGCACCTGACAACCCTGCTCAGGTGCCTCCCTGCCTGGCCACCTGGCCAGCAGCACTGGTGGGCGTGAGAAACTGGAGCCTGAGGGCCAGGTGTCTCCCTCCTACATCTCACTATGCATCCATCCTGCTCTGCCTTTCTCTTTCTCTCCATCTCTTTTCTCCCGACCCTCCAGGAGCCCCACAAACACAGCTTGGCTGCTGGGCCCTGCACTGGGACCAGTGTCCAGGGGTCCAGGCTGTGGCGCCCACCTCCATCACCACTGTGCCTTAGCAACCTGTCCTCGGCTGCCCTCCCTGCTGGGGGTCTGTAGCCACTCTGATGTTAGCTGGGTGACATCAGCAGTCCCCACCGACCCCCAGTCAACTGGAAGTTTTATATTTTTGTTTTGAGACAGTGTCTCACTGTAGAGGCCAGGCCGGCCTCAAACCCGCCATCCTACTGCCCTGCCTGTTGGAGGGCACTGCCCTGCAGTGCCTGACCAATGACATCCATGCACTATTGCCCCTGGGCCCCCACTCTCCCCTCATATCCTGGACGCTTCCGGAATTGATTGACCACTTGGACGTGGCTAATGGTGGCCCCGCCCACATGTGTCTGTTGAGGGGTCACCAGGCACCCCCTCTCGGGGCCCTGACTAGCAAAGCTTGGGTGTCTCGTCGCACAGCTGGAGGGAAGGCTGCTGTGGTGCCCCTGGGGACGACCTGGAAGCCCTTCCCTAGCCCAGACCCCGAAGCTCGTGACGCTCCAGGCTCCCATGCTCCCCACGGGGTCGGTCACCAAGTCCGGCATCTGCCCTCCTCATCTTCAGGGGCCCGGCCCCATGAAGGGTGAGAACGGCACAGCATCCACAGGCTGCGCAGCCCTCCACACACAATGTGCTTTCCTTGTTGGTGTTAAGAAATAAACGTGCTGAGCCTTGACACTTGCCAGAGCACAGGGTCTCTGGTCTGTCTTGAGGCCTAGGTGTGAATTTCTGCAGGTCACACCTGAGCAAGCTGCAACAGGACACCACGGTCGGTCGTGGTCCTAGTTAGGGCTACTGTGATGAAACAGGAAAGCATCTTGGGACAGAAACACATCCTGCATCACAGTCCATTGAGGGATCCATGGCAGGATCTTTTTTTTTTTAATTTATTTTATTTTATTATTATTTTTTTAACGCCGAATGCTGTTTATTGAAGGAGGGAGGAGGTCTTAAATACAGGCTTACAGCACAATGGGAGAACCCCAGAGGGCAGAAGATGGCTCCTGATGTTTTACAATCTTGCATCTAAGCTGTTAATGACCATTATTCAGGATACACAGACAAGGACCTTCCCTTAAGCATTCAGGAGGGTGGAACCTGGCAGGGAATTAGCATAGGGGGGATATCAAGGTCAAGGTCCACAAGCAAGGCAACCGTTACCCAAAACAGGGGCCAGGGCCCTACACGTTCCCCTTTTACTAAAAAATGAGCTTCTGACTTGGGTTGCGTGGGACGTCAGCAGGTCACCTTACCCTTCATGGGGACGCCTGCCCAGACCACACTGGTGCTCTGTCTTAGGTTGGTGAGCACCCCCCACCGGGCATTTCCTGTCTCTGAATACTCCTTATCATACCGGCTCAATCTGTGTGAGCTGCAGAGTTAACTGCCCAGGCCACACAGGTGCTCTGTCTTAGGTTGGTGAGCGCCCCCCAGGAATTACCCGTCTCTGAATACTCATTGTCATACAGGCTCAATCTGTGTGAGCTGCAGAGTTAACTGCTGCCTTGGCAGCATCTTAAACGGAGCACACACTTGGAAGCAGGAGCTGATGCAGAGGCCATGGAGGGTGCTGCTTACAGGCTTGCTCCACATAGTGTGTATTCTCTGAGCTGGCCATGAGCCTGCTTTCTTTTTTTTTTTTTTTTTTTTTT